TGGATCTTCATATGCACGAGCCGCACATTGTTGTTTATGATGAAATTTACATATATAGTAACTGCAATAGTATTAATATTTTTTATTTTTGAACAATTGGTTACTTGACTATTATCAAATAAATAATAACTTCAACTAAACTATTAATTGAAACAAATAAAAATTATTCGTACATATGTAAAGGGTACATTGACAAACTGACATATCGCCGACTTTGACCTCTTTGATTTGGATCCAATTTTTTCATTATTATGCACATTTCGAAAAGTAACTTTATGATTTTTTTCAAATTTTTTTATTAAGCCGTTTACGAGATATAAATGTTTCAAAATTTGATCATTTAAATTTTTTATTATTTTTTATTAGTCATAAATTTCTTCAATATGCATTAAAAAAAATTTAATTTTTTTTAAAGAAAAAAAACCGTATTTTTAAGTGAAGTCTTAAAAATAATTTATAAAAAAAATTAAAATTTACTTTATTTCATTTTATATAAAGGTGAAAATCTTGTTTTTCAAAACTGTTTGTATCCTTCAATTTAAAAAAAAAAATTTTACATATACTTTTTTTATAAAAACTTTAATCCTAGTCCGATTGTAATAAAACAATATTTTATTATTTTAGGAATATTTAAAAATTTTAGAAATTTAGAATTTTTTAAACATATATCTGCTTTTTTAAAACTGTTATAATATTTTTAAAAAATTTTAAAAACAAGTTGAAAAAATCTTTTTTTCTGCGACCGGACTTGGCTTAAAAATTTTCTCAAATAAAGTATTTTATTTAGAAATTTTTTAAAGAAAATCAAAGGATAGAAATAGTTAAAGAAAATAACATTATAACCTATAAATAACAAAAAATATAGTGAATTTTAATTATATAATTACTTGCATAACATTGATGCATTCTAATGAAATTTATAAGAATTCAAAAATAATAATTATAAATCATTAAAATTTTTAAATTTAGAAAACTTCATATCTCTCAAATGGTTTAGTAGGAAATTTTTTTAAAAATCATAAAGCTCTATTTTAATATTTCCAAAACGGTGAATAAATTTGATTCAAATCGAAGGTATTAAAGTCAAAGATATGTTGTTTTGTCATGAAAATAATCATATATAGTATATAATATTTTTGTAAAAGAAAGTTGATTTTTTTTAATTTAAAAAAAACAAAGCATATAAACAGTTTAAAAAAATATTTTTTTAAACTTATAAATAACAAAAAATATGCTGATCGAAGGGTACAAATAATTTCAAAAAATTTAACTAAGCAATAAAAAAAATATACTGAATTATAGTCATATAATTTTTTGCATTAAATTTTTGAAAAAATAAGTTAAAAATAAATATTTAAAAAAATATATTTTTAAATTTACTTCATTCTAAAGAAAGTTATAAGAATTCAAAAATAAAAAAAATATTTAAATTTTCAATTTTAAAAAAATTGATATCTCGTATAAGGTTTAATGAAAAAATTGAATATAATTACAATAAACTCATTATTGACGTCCAAAAATAAAACGATGGAAAAATGTGATTTAAATCGAAGTATCTCATGTCGACGATATCTTGTTTTGGAATGAAAATCCTCATATAAAGTATATAAAAGAAAGTAGATTTTTGGGAATTTGAAAAAAAATCAAAAGATACAAACAGTTAAAAAAAATTTGAAATTAAAAATAACAAAAAATATACTGCATTTTAATTATAAAATTTTTTGCATAACATTTAAAAAAAATTAAAAATCAGTTAAAAAGAAATATTTATAAAAATAATTTTTCAAATTTGATTCATTTTAAAGATAATCATGAGAATTCAAAAAAAAAAAAATTCATTAAAATTCTCCCTTTTTTAAAAATTCATATATTGTATAAGGACTATTGTAAAAAATAAAATATAATCACAAAGATTTTTTTTTATATCCAAAAAACGATGAAAAAATGTGATTCAAATCAAATGGAACAATGTCGATGATAATTATGTTGTTTTGATATGAAAATCCTCATGTAAAGCATATATTATTTTTAGAAAAAATGTAATTTTTTTGAAATTAAAAATAATTAAAGGATACAAACAATTAAAAAAAAATTTAATTAAAAATAAAAAATAATATACTGAATTTTAGAGTTAAATAATTTTTTGCATTAAATTTTTAAAAAAGTAAATTAAAAATAAATGTTTTTAAAAAAATATTTTTAAATTTGCATTATTCTAAAGAAAGTTATGAGAATTCAAAAATAAAAAAATCATTAAAATTGAGAATCTAGATCAAATAAAACGACACTCCGCTTGGACCGAACGCGGTAATTGCTTCGATTCTTCGATTCAGCTCTTCAATTTTCAATTTTTCAAAAATTCATATCTCGTTTAAGGTTTAATGAAAAAATTTGAATATAATCACAAAGCTCATTATTAACGTCCAAAAAACGGGGGAAAAATGTGATTCAAATCGAAGGGAACAGATGTCGACGATATGTTGTTTTGTCATGAAAATCCTCCTGTAAATCATAATATAATATTCTTGCAAAAGAAAGTTTTTTTTTTGAAAATTTAAAAAAATCGAAGGATACAAAAAATTAAAAAAAATTTAACTTAAACATAACCAAAAAAATTGTAATAAAATTTAATTATATAATTTTTTGTAAACATTTTTTGAAAAGATTTAAGAAAACATATTCAAAACAAAAATTTTTTAAATTGGTGAATTCTAAAAAAAGTTATTAGATTATAAAAATAATAAATCATTTCCAAAATTTTAAAACATTTATATTTTGTATAAGGCTTAATGAAAAAATTTGAATATAATCACAAAATTTGACGTATAGATTATTATAGTATATATATTATAGTGTTAGTATAGATTATTATTAAAAAAAAGTAAATTTTTTTGTATATTAAAAAAAATCTAAGGACATCAACAATTACAAAAAAAATTTAATTAAATAATAACAAAAATATGTTGAATTTCAATTATAATTTTTTGCATAAACTTTGTAATAAAAATCAGTTATAAACTGATATTAAAAAAAATGTTTTTTCAATTGTTTCATTATAAAAAAGGTATGAGAATTTAAAAATAAATAATCATAAAAATTGTTAAATTTTAAATACAGTAAAGCGAAATATCAAAATAAAATGAGTCATATATCATTCCTTTTGTTGTCAGAAATGAAAACGAAGCTGTAGTACGTAACGTTTATGATAAAATATATTTTTAAAAAATTATTTTTTAAACCGAATTTTTTTACAATTTTTTGCCTAAAAAATATTTGTTGTTGTTTTTATTAATCAACAAATTATAAAAAATATATGTTTTTAGGTAAATAATTTGATAATTTTTAGTGTTAAATAAAAATTGTTTTTTAATTATTTATCATAAACATTGTGTAATTCAGTATACTGAAAAAGGAATAAATTATTTTTGGGTGCACTTCGGAAAACCCCCCCCTTCCGATTTTAATGAAACTTGGTATACTTACGTAATTTCATGCGCTGATCACGAAAATGATAGTGAAAATTACCGCAAATTTCATTTTTATGGTGAAAACTATAAAAAACACCATAAAATTATGGTTTTTTGCGTTTAACTCGTAAAAAACGCAAAATTAAAAAAAATCGTTCTTACAAAAGTTGTAGAGCTTCTAAAAATGAACATTTTATGTCCTATACATTTTTTACCAAAAGTTATTAGTTTTCGAGAAAAATGCAGAAACATGAAAAGCACACTACAGAAATTACTAATACCACGAAACTGGAATTCCTATAAAGATAGTTTTGAGAGATCGCACATTAAATTTGATTCGTTTGAATATTATATTATTATGATATTATATTATATTATACATATATTATGTATATATAATATATAAGATGTCTTCCCCCCCTCCCCTGGAAGTAGCTCTGCACAGCAAAGAATGCAGAGGCGGGCGAAGCGCGCCATCCCTAGTATCGTTGCTCTCTTTCAAAACAGACAGTCAAATTCACATTCTTAATGGTACTGGAAGGTACGGAACCCACCCCGACTTCCCTCCTCCAAGATGTCTTCCCCCCCTCCCCCCCTGGAAGTAGCCCTGCACAGCAAAGAATGCAGAGGCGGGCGAAGCCCGCCTTCCCTAGTATCGTTGCTCTCTTTCAAAACAGACAGTCAAATTCACATTCTTAATGGTACTGGAAGGTACGGAACCCACCCCGACCCCCCTCCTCCAAGATGTCTTCCCCCCCTCCCCCCTGGAAATAGCCCTGCACAGCAAAGAGTAGAAGGTTTTTTATTAAAAGATATTGTCCGTCACATAAGACATCTGCCTCTTGTGGATAATAGCTAGAAGTTGGTGATTTTCACCGTTTTTAAATATTTTGCATTTTTCTCGAAAACTAATGACTTTTGGTAAAAAATGTATAGGACATAAAATGTTCATTTTTAGAAGCTCTACAACTTTTGTAAGAACGATTTTTTTTAATTTTGCGTTTTTTACGAGTTAAACGCAAAAAACCATAATTTTATGGTGTTTTTTATAGTTTTCACCATAAAAATGAAATTTGCGGTAATTTTCACTATCATTTTCGTGATCAGCGCATGAAATTACGTAAGTATACCAAGTTTCATTAAAATCGGTAGGGGGGGGGGGGGGTTTTCGGAAGTTTATCCTTAATCGCCTCTTTAATCTTTGTTAAAATATAAGTTTTTAGCTATATTACAGGTCATTTTAAACTAATCCAAGCTATTAATAATAATGACATATATTTTAAGTACAGAAATCAATTTCATAATTTATCTCAATTTTTAATGATAATATTAGCTTATGACTAATTTTTCCTTTATTGTTCTGTAAAATCTTTTTCCTTTATTTTTCGTTGTTAAAAGTTGAAAGTTTAAGAGATTTGCTCATTATAACAATAATATTACAAGTTAATCTTCATTTTTTAATTTACACTTTTTTATTCTTATTCACACAATGCGCACGTGGATATAGGTTTTCTTTGAACATTTTTAGGTACTTAGTAAAAAAATAATTTGGTGTAGCTGTTTCTCACAAGAAATACATTATCCTGAATTCGGTGTAGTGCATTAATGGAATTGGGCCGTTGCACAAAATTATTTTCGCATTTGTGTAATTCTTCTTTCTTAAGGCGTCCAAAATATTATATATAATATGTACATACGTGGTATTCTCAATACGAAACAACTATGTCAAATTATTTTTTTTCTCCTGGGATGTTTTTCAACTTGAATCTCTTAATGTTTACTGTATAAAAGTACAAATTGATATGTTTTTAGAAATGTCTGCTGCTATCGTGGAATGTCTAGATGAAAGTTTTTTCAAAGTTCGATTTTCAAAAGAAAAGAATCGATCATTTTTCACCACAAAACTTATTAAAAAAGGCAGTATTGTAATAGAATATGTTGGTGAGGTGATAACTGATGTTAGAGAAATGCAAAATCGTGAAATTTCTTATGCCAACGATAATTTAGGGTGCTTCCTCTTATATATTTCGTTCCAAGGAAAAAAAGCTTTCATTGATGCCACCAAAGAAACTGCATTTAAAGCAAGGTTAATTAATCATTCAAAAAAACCTAATTTGGAACCGTTTAAAATAATTATCGATGAAGTACCTACAGTTTTCTTCAAAGCAAAAAAGGATATTGATCGTGGAACGGAACTTTTGTGGAATTACGGTGATAGGAGGAAAGCCATTATCAAGAAGTATCCTTGGCTGAGAACAACAAAATCAGAAGGAGGTATATTTTTTATTTATTTAAGGGACTCTTTGGTGATGACTAAAAAAGCCATCTTTAATGTTTCCTAGTATGAAGGATGAATATATTGTCAACTTGAATAAGACGTAATGCAATTTTTTTTTTTTTGAAAAATTTAAACAGTGAATATTTGAAAACTTGTAACTTTTAAACAGAAAGAAGAAGAAAAATTTGTCCTGTATGTTTTCGAAAGGTTTTTTTCTGCTCTTTCAAATGGTGCAAAAAAATATTCAAAAAATTCAAATTTTGACCCTTTTTTGAAAATTAAACATTTTTTGGAAATTTTTTAAGTTCGGTCCTTTTTTTTTTTTTTTTTTTGAAAGCCAAAAATTTGTATTTTCACTACAAAAAATATTGAAATGTCCTTTTTTGTTATTTTCGAGATATTAATTAATTAATTAATGTTAATAAAAAATTAAATATTTTACAAATACAGAAAGTAATTGCAATTCTGAAGGTACCCATTGAAAGCTGACGTAATTCCGCATCCAACGAGCCCTATATGGACTATTTTGGATTAGAGGATTTTTTATAAACAATTGCCATATTAGCCAATTGTTTATTAACAATCCACTACCCAATGTTCTTTATATAGGGCTCGTTGGATGAGGAATTTTGTCAACTTTCTTTTAGTAACGTCAGAATTACGAGAACTTTATTTTTTTATAAAATATATCATTTTTTATTAACCTTAATTAATTAATCAACTAATATCTCAAAAATAACAAAAAAGGACATCTGAATATCTTTTGTGGTGAAAATACACATTTTTAGCGTTATAAAAAAAAATAAAAAAATGAAAAGAACCGAACTTAAAAAAAATAAAAAAAGAATTTTGATTTTCATAAAAATGGGTCAATTTTTGAAATTTTTTTTTCACCAATCAAACGAGCACAAAAAACATTTGGAAAACATATATGTCAATAAAATTTTTATCTACTTATATAATATTTACAATTTTTAGTTAATTAATTAACTACTAAGGTTAATAAAAAATGATATCTTCTAAACAAATAAAGTTATCATTATTCTGACGTTACTAAATGAAAGTTGACAAAATTCCGCATCTAACGAGCTCTAAATGAAGTACTTTGGGTTAGGGGATTGTTAATAAACAATTGGCTAACATGGCAATTGTTTATAAAAAATCCTCTAATCCAAAATAGTCCATATAGGGCTCGTTGGATGCGGAATTACGTCAGCTTTCATTGGGTACCTTCAGGATTGCAATAACTTTATTTATAAAGTATAATAATTATAATTAAAAAAAAAATTTATAATTTTTTCTAAAATAATTCATTTTTTATTAACATTAATTAATTAATTAATACCTCAAAAATAAAAAAAAGGATATCTCAATATTTTTTGTGGTGAAAATACACATTTTTTTCTTTCTGCTTAAAAGTTACAAGTCCCCATGTGCGAAATGCCAAGACTGAGAATACGGCCCAACATTGGCCAAGTAATGTCTGCCGAAGTATGGCAAATGTTACTGGACTAGTACTGGCGATCAATTCGTCCCATTATTGGGCCAATATTGGCACCAATTCTCGGTTACTCTAATTTGCCATTATTGGGCCGAACTCTGTCCCATTCCTGGGCCAATATTGGCAATGCGTCTCAGTTACTCCAAATGCCATAATTGGGTCGAACTCCGTCCCATTATTGGGACAATATTGTCACCGTTTCTCGATTATTCTAATTTGCCATTATTGGGCCTTCTCTGTCCCATTACTGGGCCAATATTGACACTGCATCTCAGTTATTCCAATTTGCCATAATTGGGCCGAACTCCGTCACACTACTGGGCATATATTGGCACCAATACTTGGTAATTCTACTTTTGCATAATTGAGACGAACTCTGTCCCATTACTGGGTCACTATTGGCTCATTGACGGCTGAAATGTTGAATTTATTTTGAAAAGTCATTTTTTCCAAAGTTGGAACGAATATTGGCCCAGTAATGGCGCATTAACGGCTGAAATGTTCCTCAAATGCAGCTTATCAAAACATTTTTGTGTTAAAATTCCCATATCAGCGTATAGTGTAGTGGTTAGCGTGTTAGACTTCGGTGTGTTAGGTTGCGAGTTCGGTTCCCGCCAGCGTTACAAATTTTCAAATGTTTAAACAATTGTGCTTTCTGTCAGGACTTGAATTATAAATGTATAATGAATTAATTAGTTAATTAATTAATTATTATAACTTTTTAAACTTTTTTAAACTTTGACAATACTGGGCCACTAATGGCAGACAAGATTGGCCCAGTAATGGCGTCTGATACTTGGCTGCCGAAGTCCAACCGCAGTTAACACCACAAAAGTTGGCCCAATATTGTCTGCCAAGACTTGGTGCCCGATTTGACAATGCTTGGCCAATATTGGCCCATGTTGGTTTTCGCACATGGGTCTGCAAAAATTTAATGTTTAAATTTTTCAAAAAAATTCAATCCTCTCTCTCACCGACAGTTTTTGAAAAAACCTAACAATACTTCGTGGTTAAATTACCTACCCCTAGGGGTAAACTATGTGCAAGTTACAGCCTGATCCGTTCAACTTTTTTTCACTTAGTCCGCTACAGGAATTTTACCCCATATATATTCTTATAGGGAATTTTTTGCTCTTTTTTCTTAATAAAAAACTTATCATTTATAACTGACTTCAAAATTTAAAGAAAATACTAGTTTTTTGGAAGCGTAAGATTTTATCATTTTCTACCTGAACTCGTGTTATCTCAGAAAATTTTGGGAAATTTTTTAATAAAATAAAAACGAAAATACTTGCTAATATATTTTGACAATGCTAAAAAATTTTATTTTTAAACATAAATTGATTTTAATATTTTTTTAAATTAATATGAAGAATTATTTCATAATTTCTAATTATTTATGTAGAAAAAAATGTGAAATTTAATTTTTTACAAGAATGTACTTGCAAAGCATTAAAATTCAAAAATCTAATTTTTTTCCTTCAAGTATGATAAATAATTTAAGCGGAAAATAGGTGTAGGGCCGCTTTTTGCAGCGATTATTAAGAATTTTTTAACACATATTTAGGAGTACATTCTGAAAATTTCCTTAGATTTTCCTTGAAAATTAGTAATATCTGCTGCCACACATTGTAGGTCACAAATCCGTCTCAGAGGTTTGTGTATATTGTAGAAATCACAATTTTTATCTGAAATTAATTGCACTAATTTTTGGAGGCGTCCCAAAAACACGATTTGTAACCATTTTTTACTACTATTTTTTATAAAAAAAATCAAAATTAAACAAAGATATTATTCAGGATTACGGTTCAAATAGAGCAGTTTTATATTATGAAACGACACGCTAAATGGTTAAAATGTTTTTAAGCTAGAGTGCATACAATTTCGAAAAAAGTCGTTTCGAGAAAAACGTGTTTAAAAAAAGTTCCAGAAAAGGATAACACTTTGTATCATGCAATTCGGAAATAATCGAAATCCTTGAAACAGTACTGTATACTATGCTTTCTGATTCGATGATTGCAAATCTAAGGTCATTTTTTAAGAATAAAAAATGCCGTTCTAATATGGCGTGTTTATTGTCCTAGCGCGTTCTTACCCATTATCGAGGGACACTTAATTGTTTATAACATTTAAACGGCTCAAAATTTTCGTTTGAAATTTTCAGATTATATTTTTAGTTTTACAACCGATATATGAGACAAAAATTAAATTTTTTTAAACTTTATACCTATTTCCTCCTTAAAAGTTATATATAGAATTATCTATTAATCAGATATCTTCTGAAATAATTTATTGTTAATTTAATAATTAATTAATATCAATTATATTTATATAATATTACTATTATCTGTAAAAATAACAATTATTTTTTAATGAATACTATTCAATTAAATAAATTCAAAATTTTATTTATTATAATATGACAAATAATCAAATAGGGTGGGGAGTCCGGAGCTACTTGGCGCAGGGGTTGCCTGGCGCACTTGAGTTTAAGTAAAAGTGATAAGATAATAGTATATTAAGCAACAAGGGTCCAAAGACAGCCATTGGACCCATGCTACTTACGATATTTTTTATTCCAAAGGCACAAACGTCGCGCTTTTAGGTTATCTGACGGCTGGGTGAAAAAGCCATTCATTTGTTCTACTGTTTGAAAATGGCGTCCATTTTTACCTTACAGCAAAAGTAACATATGGGCCAGCTGTTCATTTTTACGGTTTGGCTCAAATATTAAGGTTTGAGCTCTATACATTTTTTATTAAGAAACATGAAAACATTTTTGATTTATATTAACAGTTTTTATAAAAAAATAATAAATATTTCAAAAGTTCATTCGGGATTAGGTGGCGCGATTATCAAAAAATTTCGTTAAATATTAATAAAATAATTAAGGTATCACATCGGTAAAACCGTTTTCTATAAATTTTCTTGAAAATTTTCCCATATGTTCTCATTATCATTCTTGACAAATTTGCAAAATATGAAGAATTTTCGCCGTACGGAACCAGAGATATTAGTAATCAAAGTTGCTTATTTTGCATGGGAGACGGGACTAATGTATGGGGGAGAAGTACATTTTCATAAATATCATCAGAAGTTTTCTATAAATTTTTTTCAAAAACTAATGTTGAATTCGCGAATAAATTTGGAACTAAAAGATACGAAGAAATTTATAATTTACCGTGCCGTTTATTTGTAATTATAAATTAAAAATTCTATTTCATGACGTCATTAGCAATATATAGCATACCCGCCACTTTGATGTGGCAACATCGCAGGATGGTTACATTAGTTAGAGAGAGAAACCCTAGTAGAGAAATCCACCGTAGTCAAAGCGAGACTTATAGCGACGTTGTCAAACCTCCTACTCCTTCTAATCGCTTCTAGTGTGGGGTATACGTGTACGAGTGTATTTGTGGAAGTAGGTACAGTATGGGCTGAGAGTATAGGGCGAAAGTATTGGCGATTCAAACAGCTACACTAGCGCCACAGTTGAACTAACTTAGGCGTGACTCGCTCTAAAGCAGTCTCTGTTGTGACAGTTTATTTCAAATTATTTAATTATTCTGATATTTTTATTGCGTTTGTAAAATAATTTTTAAGCGTTAAATAAAAAAAAATAATTTAAAACACATGGAGTGCTACAGAGCGAGTCACGCCTAAGTTAGTTCAACTGTGGCGCTAGTGTAGCTGTTTGAATCGCCAATAGTGCGGGAAGTAGTAATGCGAGCTACAAACTTTTGACTCCGATTAGTGCCGATGTGATACCTTAAATGAAGTTGACTATATGAAATGCACCAATAACAATCCTTTTCAAAAAATTTAACCGAATAATAGGTTTTTAAATATTTACAGCGTAAATATCAAAAAACAATTTTTTTTGAATGTTTTATGATATTATAGAAATGTTTTTAATTTAAATGAAATTTTCTAATTTTTAAAATCATTTTATTGTAAAATTACATTACAAGACTTATTTTGTTAAGTTTTATATTTTGTTTAAATTTTAATAACACAGCCCCACAAAAAAAAAGTGTCGTGCGCGGCAGACCAGACTAGTCGGATTTTCAGAGGTAGGCTATTTTTTTAAAAAATTGATGGATTTACTTCAAAATTGGTATCTAGGGGTTTTTTAGGTCGCTGATGACGAATTTGAAGTTATATTTTCAAAATTCAAAATGGCGGCTCCAATATGGCGGACGAGTTTTGTAAAAATTGATGGATTTACTTCAAACTTGGTATCTAGGGGTTTTTTGGGTCGCTGATTACGAATCTGAAGTTAGATTTTCAAAACTAGAAATGGAAATTCTTATATACATAAGTAAGGTATTCACGTCTTTTTATGGTAGCGCACTATTTTGTCCTCAAAGGATCTGTGTAATGGTTTTCTTTTCAAATTGGTGCCTCCAGGTACAATATCCCTTTTCAGCATCCAACAGTAGTCGGCCATCATATTTACATCCCATCTTCCTTGATAAAGACGCTCAAATTCTTTAAGATCTTGATGGAATCGTTCTTCTTGTTCTTCACTGTAATCTCCCAAATTTTTAGGGAATTGATCCCGATGCGAGTCTAAGTAATGCAACTTTATGCTCATTAAGCATCCTAACTTACCAAAGTTTTTAATCATATCACTAACTATTTGCTCCCAATTTTCACTCTTGTGATTACCCAGAAAATTTTCGACAACTGCTTTGAAACTAAGCCATGCGGCTTTTTCCTTTTTATTCGTCTTGGTGATAAATTGCTCATCTTTTAACAATTTGCGAATAAGTGGTCCGTCGAAAACCCCTTCTTTTAGTATCGCATCAGAGATTTCTGGAAACGTTTGTTCCAGGTATTTGAAACAGTTTCCTTTTTTATCTAAGGCTTTGACAAACTGTTTAATTGCTCCTAGTTTCGTGTGTAAGGGCGGAATTATCATCTTTGAAGGGTCGATATAATCCGCCATATTGGAGCCACCATTTTAAATTTTGAAAATCTAACTTTAGATTCGTAATCAGCGACCCAAAAAACCCCTAGATACCAAGTTTGAAGTAAATCCACCAATTTTTATCAAATTCGTCCGCCATATTGGAGCCGCCATTTTGAATTTTGAAAATCTAACTTCAAATTCGTCATCAGCGACCCAAAAAACCCCTAGATACCAATTTTGAAGTAAATCCATCAATTTTTAAAAAAATAGCCTACCTCTCAAAATCCGACAGGTATTTGGAGGTTAGAAAAAAATCCTGACGTGATGGAGCAAAACGGACTTCGGATTCGTATTCAGCGCGTCAAAATACATAGGAAATGACTAGTCTGGTCTGCCGCGCACGACACTTTTTTTTTTGTGGGGCTGTGTTATTTACATATTCAGAAGCAAATATTTTTTTAGTTCAAATTGATCTTTTATATAGATTTCCGAATTTATCTGTAAATGTTGTAAATATCTATAAATATCTGTTGCAATTGCAAAAATCTCCCTGATTGTCTTAGCCTCAATCTTTGGCAAAGCCAACAAACCCAAATTAAATTTATTTACAATATCACGACCCACATTGTGCTCTCGGGAACTGCAAAAATATTGACAACACGTTCAACATTATTTAATCTTACCCTCGTTGATGTAAACCCGTTGTTGATGTGAACAACTCGGTGCTGTTTATTCCTGAGTAGTTAGGAAGTAAGTCGAAATCACACAACTGCACACTTTCAACAGGCAGTTGACTCTTTTTTGTAAAACTGATGGGACTCTCTGTATCCAGAAGTGTGTCCAATGTCCTTATACAAGTTTCCGCCCCAACGTTGAACCCGTACGTAATATTTTTTAAAACACTGACTAGCATTTTCACACCAACCTCGGCAAAATGGCCATATTTGCTGCAGTTGTAACAACGCAAGGAGGGAGAAGATTAAATCGAATTGTTGTTATCGATTCTAGTTCATTAGAGTCAACAATTACGCTGAATTTCGTATTGAATTATACTGTCAGATCGATAATATCGAAAGCTACGTGACCCTTAAATTTGGTTCTTTTGGTTTTTTGAATGCTAATTCTTAATCTAAGGTTGAAATTGAGAATGACCAAAACAGAAATTTTTGTAAAAATTACATAGTATCTCTGAAAGAAGATCATTATTCAAGAAAATTGCACGTTAACGCTTGCAAGTAATTACTTTGCTATGCTTATGTAAAAGTTAATAAAATTTACTGATTCTTTAATAACAAAGTTGATAATATCGACAAGTTTATAAACTAATTACAATAATTGAAAATAAACAGATTTTTAAGATATTTCTTGTAATTTAAATTCTGTAAAAGTACTTTGTTGTGCCTTATATTTGATCTGAGGTCTGGAGATCTAACTAGGCCAGATTGTGATGTTTATAAACATTTTTTCACTAAAACTAAAAATGATTTCACTAAAATTATTAATTAATAATACTAATAAAATTTTTTTACAAATTTTATTTACCGTTTTCAAATTTATATATGACGTTATTCAAGTTGTTTAGAATTTTTTTAATTTCTTATTTTGTTTTTAAACAATGAAAAATATTTCTGATGATCGGACCAATTGTCAAAATGTCGTTTAGACAATTGAGTAGACGACTTGCTCAATCTTCTAAATTGCTATCTCAAAAATTCTTTTCTTACTAGGAAGTAAAACAAATTTTATTGTTTAAAATAGATTTCCTAGAAGAGTTATTGTTTTTAATTTTTATGATATTGAATTACAGTTAATATTTATTTCTAAATTATTGATCAAAGTATGCAATTGCGTTAGTAATTGTCATATGTGTGCGTTAGTTACCGTCTAGTGCTCTCTCACTGATTGGTTCAGCGGTTGTCTCTTATTTGCCTTAGTTACTGTCAGCTACATTTAAAATGCAAAATATTTTTATTTGAAAAAAAGTTTTTATCTGATGAACAGTAAAACATTAGGCTTTGTCATTCAAGTGCATCAGTTATCGTCATCAAATATGATATAAAATATTTTTATTTTGCAAACAGATTTTATTTAACGAATATTAAAATTTACAACCATTAATATATAAAAAATATAAAGGATGTAAGATTGTTGATCAGTTTGACTCAGTTGTAGTAAAAAGATGTTAAAAAAGTGTTTTTCTTCTGATCATTTACAAAAAATCATTTATTTAATTTTTCTAAGCTTTCGCTCCACAACGCGGAGCCTCTTCAGAGTTAAATCTGAAAATGTATACAAAATATAAATATACATGTCACACTTCCATACAATATCATAAGAAGTTAACCTCAAAACTCACCAATCACGTGTTGAAACTTTCCTATCTTTAATATATAATTATAAGTCATAACACACATAAAATTTAAAAAATCCTTCAAACAATATAAAATTAAAAACATTGACTATATATTTAAATTTTTAATTAACAATAAGGGGAGGAGAAACCTTCCCCGTTTTTTTAAAAGTCACATGTTTATTGATATGAAAACGCAAACTAAGATTACGATTTTGAAAGTTATATAATGTCGACATATATGTCGATTAATATATAAAGAATTATATATTGGAAAAAATAAGACTTATTACCGTTATAGTTTAAGAATATGCAAGCAATATTTATACCATACAGCCTGAATTAATAATACTATGATAAAAGTTTCACGACTTTTCAAAATGTCCTTAAACCAGATAGAAAGAATTTATGCAATTGGGTATAATAAATAAAAATTTGGAAAATGACATATCTATAATTTATGATCAAATGTGAAATGAAAGACAAACAAGGTTCCTCTTAAATTTTTAACTTTTAATTCAATTCAACCTAATTTATTTTGTTTTTCAGTTTCAAAGGAACAGACAATACTTTTAAAGGATCTATACGTAAAATTAGATAAGTCAGAAATTACTACTTCATATTGTAGACGTAGTAATGATAGTAAAAGCCTAAAATCAGAAAACAGTTGGCTAAATAAAACGGTTAATTCATTTCAAAGCTTGGAATTGAACAGTAGTAAACATTCTACACCACTTCAAAGATCAAAAGAAGATGTAAATATGAATGGTACGTATTACCTCCAATTTTGTGTAATAAATACATATGATTTTACAATAAAAATATATCTTTTTGTTGTTAAAGATCAATAAAATGTATAAGAGTTGAGCCATAGTTGTTATTAGAAAAATAGGGTTATGGTTGGACATTTTTTCATTTTAATAATAGTATTGAAAGCATAATTTCCACAAATCAGAGAACCCAGTAAAAAACTAATTCTGATGAATTGAAATGAATTAACTTTTTTAGAAAGGTCCAATTCGAATTTGTCACTTAGCGGGATTTACTGAAGCCCATGGTGTATTCATTTCAATTCAACTGAACTAGTTTTCTTTTCTAGGAAATGAGGGAAAGTGAAATTGGTGAGGGGAAAGTTTAAAAATTTTGTCAAAAGTACTAAGAAATTATTAATTTTTTGCAAAGATTTCTGTCAATAATGTATTTAAATTTTTGAAGATTTCCATTACATTCTTTACAATTAATTGTTGTAGGGAATACTTTTAATTAAAATGATTAAAAAATGGAATTATCAATCTTGACAGTAATAACTTTTTTTTATAGAATTCTCAAAAAGTTTGAATCAAAAATTTAGTAGAAAGAAAAGAAAGTAATTTAAAAAAAGGAATTTACGGTTTTATGAATCTTCTTCGGTTACACATTTTTGTCCGAATTTATAACTATTATAAGATGTAGGGTCAGTAGGGGTAAATGGGGACAAAATCTATTTTTCACAAATTACGTAAGTTTTTTCCTTTAAAAAGTAATATTTGCGGCTTTATATTTTTTTAAGTTGTTATTTACATTCCCATGATTAATTTTATGCAGCAAAAAAAATTTAGATAAGCTTTAAACGCATGAAACTGTCTGTCTCCATTTACCCAAAGATTTTGAAAACGTTATAAAATTTGTTGTAAGTGGGGACAGCATAGTTGCTAAAAAAGCTTTAAGAAAAGTTTCCTTAAGGGGTTATAATACCTTTATGAGCGTCAAAAAGAGGAATTTTCAAAGAAAATTTTAGGCGTCGTTTAAAATATTTTCGAAAACGATGTTTATTTTATCGAATAGTACATAGTTCGATGTACTTGTATGTAAATTTATATTGAAAAATATTAATAATTGTGAAAACTGTAAACCATGCATTAAAACTCCTTTTTTGATGATTGCATGCGGTGACTGCCATAAATGAGACAGAGTTTAACTAAAATTAATAAACAATGGGAATTTCTTTAGCATATTATATTACCTCGTGCGTGAACGAAGGATTAAAAAAAATTTCGAGAAATGGCAATGATTTTTCCTCAAAAATCGTGATTTTAAGGCTTTCAAATTTCGTTATTTAACAAAAAAAATATTAACTTTGGTTTAAATTAAAATTTCTTCATTCACAGACTTGCTATGGTATGTATAAAGAACCCCTGAAAATGTCCGCCCGGTCGGTTTAGCCGTTTTAAAAAAATAGCAGTCACCGTAACAAAATGATCGACTTTACAACACTTCAAGAGAGCAATCGATCTGTCTGCTGCCTTACAAACTCTTCTTATCTGTCCGTACGCCTCTTTTTCCTCTGTAAGGCACCTTCCTCATGCTACCAACCGTTTTAGTGTTCTTAGCTGTGAATGCCTCCTTATTGTAGTATTCTCCGATTTTGATAAGGAGCAAGGCCTGCAAGCCTTGCGCCTATCACCCGCGTCTGACTGACGCCCAGATTCACTGCCTTCCGAAGTTTGCTCAGTACGCCGGCATACGTCATTCCTATCCTTTTCAGACTGACAGAGTTTTTTCTTCGTTTCTGCGTTTCTATGACTGCACGCGGAAGCCGCTTATCATGGTTACACTCTCTTTTCCTTTTTCGCTCTTCTCGGTTCACTGCCACATTACATATAGTAGAATATATTGCTATTACCATTATTTGCTAAAGCGTGCTTTATCTTTGCCTTACTGACAAGATCCGAAAGAATTTTTAGTCCATCCTTAATAGTCATGTTGACATTCTTATGGACTTCGCAAAACTTTACCATCTTGGTGATCTCCTTTGCTATTTCCAAGCCTTTCCAAACGGAACTGCTGAATCTTAAAAAACTAGGTGCCCCATAGTCCATCTTCCTTGTGCCATTGAATATTACAGCACCCAAGGCGTGCAATACTGCAGAACTGTTGGCACTTGATTTCGACGTTGGGAAGCCAACTTACTCACTTTCAGCAAATCCGGCACTGGGTTATCCTTGCCCGTCACCGTAAACGTCCTAATTTAATTTTTTATTTTCATATCTTTTTTTCCTTACCTTACATCTTTGTTTTTGCATGTCCTTTAGTAAAAAAGACTCACTACCATAAGAAAGCTTACCAAGAATGTAAAAGGTACTTGGTAGCGGACAACCATCGGTAGGGTTTTTAATTAACACTTTAATTATTGGTTAAATCTGTAAGAAAGACATTGGACTATTATTATTTCTTTATTCGTAAGAATGCAGCAGTTCTTCAAATTTATGTTGTTTAGACGATAACATTTTCTTAACTGAAGGAGTGAAGTTGGGGAAAAAAAATTATTTTTTCTTCAATCTTTATATTACATGTCGTTGGATTCGAAATTAATGAGTTTAGAAACTTGCGAGGAGTGATTTTTTTGAGTTTAGCTAAAGTTTCTGAATATTTCTCAAGAGAAAAGAAGCTTTAAAAAACGTAATTTTGAGAAAAAGTTACTTACAATGCACGATAACGAAATGTTTAGTTCTGTTTATACTTTAAATCAATCTACAAATCAGAATTTGAATTTAAATTAAATAACTATTTTAAAATTATCGTCACTAAATTCCCTACTAATCTCATGAGACCGTGTTTTGACTATTATTCTTTTCTCACACCAATTTCTAAAAAAAGTTTTCCGTTCAGAAATATTTTTATTAAAATGCCTGAAAAAAATATTTGTGAAATATTATTAATTAGAAGTTTATATAATTACGAAGCATAGACTTTTCACAAGACGAGATAATTATTATTATTATCATCATTATTGTTATTTAAAAATGACGGAAACGTATTTTTGAAATGTTGTTATGTAAGTTGTTTTGCTTTTCAGTTTCAAAAGATCAATTGATACACCTAAAAGATGCATACGTAAAATTAGATAAGTTAGAAAACAATAGCATTAATAAAACCCTCAATTCATTTGGAAGCTTTCAAATAAACAGTAATAAACATTCTACACCAATGAAAATATCAAAAGAAGATGAAAATATTAATGGTACGTATTACTCAGTAAAAAATAATAATTGGTACAGGTGTACAAAAAATTGAAAAATCTAGTTCAAGCTTGAAGTATCGAGTTGTAAGATTTTAGCAGAGCTCTAATAATTCCGCGTGGTAGTTTTGTTTTGCCGATATCTTATGCTAAATTCGGTATAAAATAGTTATCACTAGAATAAACGGAGTGATGATTGGCTATTCTTTATTTCAATGACTGAATCGTCAATTTCGAAAAGGGCTCAACTTTGAAAACCGTAACAGTCATTTTCACTATGTGAAAATGACACTAACGCTTTTTCGAGTTGATTCCTTTTCTATGTTCAACGTTTTAATTCTAGATTCAATGTGTCCTCAACATTTAATTTTATTTACACAAGAATGTCTTTTTGAAGGATTACAAACAAGTAGAGTTTCTTGTCTAATATCAATAAAATAACGAAAAAATCATAAAATCGTTGTCGAGAAGTAGCTTCTTATTCAAGTAAAATATTATTTTTTTAGTTTCAATTGAAGCGTCAAAACATCTAAGAGAATCATTTGTCGCCTTGGAAAGATTGTCTAACACAGAAAACGAATCAAATTGCACCAGCGCTGCCCGAAGTGGAGCAACTGAGATTATGGATCTACTGGGGGATAGTTGGCTCAAAAACTCCTTGGACAGTTCAAATCAATTAATTAATCCTTATTCTGATACTTCCACTCCTCGCTATGAAGAATTTAAAGATATACAACTTCGATCACATATGATATTGAACCAAGATTGTTTGGCACCAATGATAGAAATGAAAAACAGAAGAAGTCAAGAAACGGGTACAATAATTAAAACTAACCTTCCCAAGAAAATAGATTACGTGAATGAAAAGGTTAGTAATGAAGTTACTTCAATTGTCTCCACCGAACAGAACCCTTCTGAACGTCAAATATCAGTTGATTTAGTTCCTGAAGAAGCAGTTTTCACTAACGACAACAACGATTTTGTATTACCCCAAACTTGTAATTTATCTTCAAGTGATTCCAAAGAAATTGTAAATATTAATGAATATGAATTCATAATCCTAGAACAGAAGCTGACAGATATCATGATCGATGACTTAGAAAAAGGGTTAAATTATATAGATGTTAATAATAATAATAATAATCCAGAGTGTAATTCACTAAATATTGATTGTAACCCGATTGATAGCTCTAAATTTACAGAATTCTCGACAAACAGTTCCACGATTAACGAAAACAATATAAACGAGACTTACACAATAACTCCAAAGCCTCAGATGCCCAAAATTGTTGAAATGGTTATACTCCAACCAGGAGATCCACTTTATGATATTAAAAATCTTGGAAAAAAATTTACATTACTAGATGCTTAGGCAAGCAACAGTGATAAAGTTAACGAAGATCTTTCATCAGTTTCTGTAACTAATAATATAAGTACATTTATTAAAGATAGATTATCTAACACGGAAAATTATTTTAGCAATGGCGAGGACAATGACCTGCAGGATGTATTCCAACTTGATATTAATGATCTTAATAAAGAATTGGCATTATCGAATGTTGTAGCAAGCCACAATGAAACAGGTATCGAAGTTCTTTTACCTGTTTCTGAAACGAATGATATGTGTGCATTGGTCACAGAAAAATTGCCTCAAGCAGAAAAATGTTCGAATGGAGATGAGAACAATGAAATTCAGGATGTAATTCCATTACCAGAAGATGAAGAGGACGAAGAAGATCTCCACGATACAGATTATTTACCAAATAATGAAGAGCTCTCATCTGATGAAGATGAATGCAGTGATACAAATGACAGAGATGATAAAAATGTTAAAAATACTACCACAGACAGAACTTCTGCTGAAGGATCCAATTTAAATACTTCAAGCTTTTCTTCAACATTTGCAAGACCAGGAAAATCAGCAATACCAGCAACTGGATTAAAAGTTCCAATGTCACTGGGAAAAAGTGGCAAGTCGAAGGGTCACTATTGCTATTTCTGCAATATTATGCAAATGAATTTCGCACGACATGTAGAAAGAATTCATGCAAATGAAAGGTTGGTAAAACTGTTTACATCTTTACGCAAAAAATCCATCGAAAGACTTAGAGCAATTGCAGTTATTAGAAAACTAGGTGATTTCGTTTATAACACCGACGAAAATCACAATAAAGGTTTTTTTATTCCAGTTCGCAGATGTCAACAGGGTAAAGAATTAACAGCGGAGGATTTTGTAAACTGTCCTGAATGCTCTGGATTTTATGCCAGAAACAATATTCCTCATCATTACGCTGAGTATTCTCAATCAACTAAGTCTACCGGCACAAGGTCTTTGCTTCAAAATGCTGCCCGAAAACTAGGCAGAATTCATAAAGATGCGAACTACAAAATGAGACATGCAATAGTTCCCGTACTGCAAAAAAATTGCGAGGTTACAAACGTTATTAGATATGATCGGTTAATTATTCTGTTTGGAAATCTACTTTCAATTAAATATAAGCGGTCACATCAGGATGCTGTGATTCGTTCCCAGCTACGGTTGCTCGGCAGATTGGTTCTGTCTTTAAAAAAAGTAAATAGGAGTATCGAAGAATTAGCTGATGCATTTCACCCAAGCTTTTTTGAAGACGTTCTAAAGGCAGTTAATGATGTTGCCGCATTTGATGAAACAACTCAAAGATATGGTTCTCCTAGTACAGCGACCGCTATTGGAACTGCATTAAAAAAATGCAGCTTAATTTTAAAGTGCGAATATATTGTAATGATGGATAAAACAAAAAAAGAACTTGTAGACGATTTTATGATAGTTTTCAAAACAAGATATGGAATTTGCATTAACAAAAATGTTGCGGAAACTCAAATGGAAATGCAAAGGAAAAAAAGGTAGTGTTGCCAAGTAATCAAGATATCATTACTTTATTATCATTCTTAGAAGAAGAGCGCGATTCTGCATGTGAACGTTTACAAAAGCAGTTCTCGATTGATCAATGGAAATGTTTAAATGAAGTTCTGTTGGTGTATTTAATGGTTTTTAATCGCAAACGGAGTGGAGAAATTCAGCTCCTCACCGTTGAAGATTTTAATAATAGACAACAACTGAACGAAGATGATGACATATACAAAGCTTTGACAGAGGATGAGAAAGTGAATGCAAAAGAGTTTACACATCTTCTCATTAGAGGAAAATTAGGCCGTTCGGTTCCGGTGCTTGTTTGCGAAAAAAGTTTAGACTGTATGAATCTCTTGAACTCCAATCGAAAATTGGCAGGCGTCAACGAAAAGAATACATACTTCTTTGCTATACCTAGTAAGGATGGCACTAGATGTAGGCCATTGGAAGCATGTAAACTTGTTCGCAAATACTCTGAATTATGTGGGGCTGCAAAACCCAAAACATTAAGAGGCACAACCCTAAGAAAACAGTTAGCAACGAAGTGCGCCACAACCTGCACGGAGAAACAAATAGTACACGTCGCAGATTTCATGGGTCACGACCTAAAAATACATAAAGAGTATTATCAATTATCAAACGTTGCCGTAGATGTAGCTGTATCGAATGTTTTAAAGTCAGCTAAAACTCCACAGTCAGGTACGATTTTAGTATTTGTTTATATCTTAAAAAACTGAATTTGTTTTTTTTAATCTTCAGTTTATGATTTGAAAATTAATCTTCAAACTCGCCTATGTAACCCTCGAATAACTTGATAATTATTGTAAACCTAATTTTTTAGCATAAAAAGAATGTATATAAGATTTTAATTAATTTAGAAGCTACATAATTAGATACGCAACAACTAGTGCACGGTTAAGTTTTTCTCTCTAAAAATTAATTAATATAAATATTATCTATTAATAATAAATATAAATTTATATAAATATTAATATGTTAATACAAATTAATATTTTAATTTGCCTAACTATGTCATGATTAAGTTGGACTTTCTGGCAACTATTGAAAAATAAAATTATTACCTAACAAAAGAACATTAGTAGAAATAATTGAGAAGCTACGGAAATCGATTGTCGATCAAACATTATATTTATAGATTATGAAACTTGCTCTCTCAAACACGATGTCAAAAATGTTGAAACTTTAAGATATTGGAACGTAATTTTAAAAATTTTTAAATGGCAAGTCAAAAATGGTGATCAAATAGAAATTTTTTTAAAATTTAACCTAGGATATAAAATTTGTTACTTGGGGATTTTTGAGTAGTTACTTACGAATATGACGTAAGATTTAAATTTTTTTGAAAATTTGCAATGACAGATCTACTATGAAATAATTATCTTAGAAATAATCAGATTTGCTTCAACTTTTTCACTCCAAAGTTTTTTTTAAATACTTGTTTTAAATTAATATTAAGTTACTAATCTTTCAAATTTTTCGCCCGGTTAAGTTGGATTTTCCAAAAAGTGATTGAAAACACAATTGAATAATTTTTTGTTTTTGTAGGTCAATTCAAGAGGAAGGCTAGTGAGATGGAAGAAGATACGGAGGAGTCATATTCTAATCAAGTGGAGCAAGAACAAAGAGTTTTCAAAAGACTTCGAAGTAAAAAAAGTTCCAAATCTAGTCCGGTGCAAACGTACCCCAAACTTATTGAGGATGGGTCGGTTTTCAATCAAATTGAGCCGTATCCAAAAATTTCTAAAAGACTTGATGGTCAAGAAGGTTTAAAATCAAGCCACGTGTAGTCGAAGCATTCAAAGGAGAATAAAGGCAAAGGTGTGTTTTTTATAAATATTAAACTTTTTTAAATCAAAACTAAGTTCATTAATGTATTTCCCTTGCTAGATGCAGATAGCCACTGTAAACAGAAATTAATTTACTTAAAAAATTTGCATAATAGCGAAATGAGCAAAACGTTTAATGGCTTTAACATTTTAATTTTTTTCAAATTTTAGATGCAAGTGCGAAGAAAAAGGTCATAAAAGCCCGTTGGTCTGAAGATCAAAAAGAAACAGTTTTAAATGTTTTTAAACTTCATATACAAAATGAAAGCTTGCCATCAAATACAGAAATACGGAAAGCACGAGAAGCCAACAAATGCTTACACGAAAAAAATGAAGCATCTATCAGGTCATGGATACATCATTATATAAAATCCAAATGCAAATAATTGTTTAAGAAACAATTAACTAAATAGTGTTGTAACAAAAGGTTTTCAAAATTTTTAAATTTTTTTCAATTCTTTGCAAAAATAAAAAAACTACAAATGCTAAAAATTTGTTTACACTTTTAAAAATAAAGTTATATTAAATAATAAAACTTTTATTCTTCCGTAAACAATTAGTTTTAAACCTATTTCTAATTAATTAAACTAAGACACATATTTTAATGATATTTTCGCGTTCTCCATAATACTGATAAGGAAGTGTAACCTGAATATAAAATAATAGATGCTAAAATCAGATCGTCGAATTGAAAATTTGGTAAAATACATATGAAAAGCTTCACAGAGAGTGTTACCAATTCTAGAAAAAATTTCATGTTACGATTATCAGCTTTTGACTAAATTAATAGAACCCATTCTAATTTTATAAAAATATAAATAGTTTCTATTAAATATTTCAGGTGTAAAGAAAATTTGACTTCTTTAAATTTGAATAGTCAATGTTTCCATAGTAACAATAAATCTTTAGGGGAAACAGCTTGGGTAATTGATTCTTCACAATCACATTTGGTTAATAATTGAACAATATTTCTAAATAAGATATTGGAAATTTAAAAATCCGTATATCAACCCCCTTCATTATCTAACAGTTTTGCTTTTTAAATAAATAAATTTTGCGAGAACAAAATTCCAAATGATCGTAGACATTTTATATATATATATATATATATATATATACAGTGGCAGGTTCCACGACCGTCTAATTATTCCATGATACCATTTGATTAATAGTTTGATCAAAATTTAGATTTACTATTTTTAAGATATATAGTCCTAATTTAAGTCAGTCAGTATTTTGTAAAAGATCGGCTGTTTAAATCAGTAGATTATTCGAAATTTAAATATTCATTCGATCATAGATATTTTATATGTATAATGGCAGGTTCCACGACCAACTTGTTCTTCCCGACCACATATTGTTAATACTAGAGCAAAATTTGTAAATGTGATATTCGGTTTATAAAAAGCCCTATTTCAACTACCTTTATTATCTAACAATTTTAATTTTCAAATAAATAAATTCTGCGAAATCAAAATTCCAAATCATCGCAGTCATTTTATACATAGAGTGGCAGGTTCCACGACCATCTAATTTTCTAATGGTTGCATTTGATTAATACTCTGATCAAAACTTATATTTATGATTTTTGTGATGTATATATATATATACATTGTAACGTATTTTTCTTGACTCTAAAATTACTCTCAAACTTGATTTTTAATTTTTATTATAACAAACAACAAATAATTCTAATTGTCAAAATTACTAACTTGGACGAAATTGGATTCAAACTTTAATGCAAAATGACTCGATTCTGAAACTTAATTTATGTTACTTTAAATCTTAGAAAAATCAAATAACAAAATAAACGTTACTGTGCGACTTAACTTTTATTCTTATGGACGATCCCCGGTATGGAAGGGCGCCAGACAACTTTTGTATCGCCGGTATTGTCAACCGGACTAAACTATAAACCAAATCTCAAATAAACAAATCTTAAACTTATAACTAATAACATATTAATTAAGATCGACCAATAAGAAATATTAACTAAGTCTTCTGCACGTGCCGGTGCTAGTCAGTTATGCAGGTCGTGGAAAGAGGGATGGGTTTTTATAATAAGAGAGTTCATTATTACAATAAATAATTCATAAACAAAATTAAAATTAAAAGAAATGTTACATTTTATTAAATAAACCATTGACATTAACATTATCATTAATTGACCTCCTTATAACAATTTAAATTACTCTTGCAAAATTTTATTTATTATCTTATAACAATGGTAATTTGAATGATAAAAATTCTCACAAAACAGTTATATAAAAATTGACTTACAGTTATGTTGTATAATGCTGGTTGGACCCATGGTAAAAAAACGAGTTATTACCGATAATTTGAAGTAAATTGAACTTAATGTTGTTAAACTTTTAGAATTAATTTAAAATTTATTAATGTGTTATGTCATATTTTAAATAATTTTTAATTTTACCTAAGCTGAACTTATAATTGTTCCCTATTCTAATTCCTTAATTTAACTTAGTTAAATTAACTAAGTTGGGGAAAGGATTATTAAATGAATGTTTAAAAAAAATACAATATGAAAATTATTTATTTAAAAATGTTAAATGTTCTCAATTATTATTATTATAAGACAATCAAACAATCCTTATTTTTAAAGATTCATATTATTTACCTTTAAATAAACTTTGTAATGACTCTTCAATTAGTTTTTCCTTTTTTCGAACACCGGGTCTCCTAAGATTATATCTTCTAAGTCGTAAAAGTTTTATTACCTTATTGACACAGGTATATTTTAGGCTAGACCGTAACTGACGAAAACTTCTGAATATGTAAAATTTTAACTTGTGAACTATGATGACATTTGTGTATCTTCGATGTATATTTTTAAAAACTGTTTATTACACTCGTTATAATGAACTCCGTGCTTATAATTTGGGACTCGATACGATGAACTTTTTACGTATAATTTGGGACTGCCTTGTTAGTGAAAGGTCTCCCATTATATAGTAATATTTTCCAATGTATTTCTCGCAGCGGGACCAGTTCGCCTCTATGGGTAGATTCAATGTCGGGACCTCACAGACACGAAAAATCTTTATTGCTTTTTCTTTTAGTAGTGGTGACTCCATAATAGATTTCCTGCTTTATTAGATCGTCTTTTGTAATTTTAAATATTAAGAACATCACACCTTTATGAAATATAATAATTTTACATATTGATTAATTACATTGATTATTTCTGTCCATACATTTAGGTTTGATAACAATTATTTTTGTTTATAAATACATTTGTTATTTGCAAATATTTGTTTACAAATATTTGTTTACAAATATTTGTTTATTTATAAACGCTCATTTATAATTTAATATTACAAGAATATTTCTTTTATTAAAATTAATTATTAACAACAATTATTATTTATTATAAAAAAATGTGACGGTGACATGATGTTTAAATATATTTGTTTATTTATAAATATATTTGTTTATTTATAAACAATTGTTTATCCACAAATATTTGTTTACAAATATTTGTTTATTAAAGAACAATTATTTATTTACAAATATATTTATTTATAAAAGAATTTATTTTATATAAATATTTATTTATTAATTATTATTAATTATTATTATTTTTATAAAAAAATGTTACGGTGACGTGACACCTCCCCCCCCAAATCGAGCATGGTGGTGAAACGAAGTGCAACAACATGGTCGACAGTTTTGTTTACATATATTCGTAGATTTTTTTTGTTTGTTTACATAAATTATTTAAACGAAAGTAAGTATATTCGTTGATCTATTAATTACAGTGTGAGCGTGATTAAATTTCTTTTTCGTTTTTATTTGTTTACATGGGCTTATAAAAAAAAGATGAGTCCTTTCATATCGAAGTACTAATTTAGAGAAGTTATACATTAATTTTTTGTTTAATTTTACTCAAACATAACGTTGTTATTAATTTCTAAACATTTTACGCAGAGACGTCGTAATTCTATTTAATACAGAGTTATAAATTTTATGTTATTACAATATAAATTTGCCTGTCTTGACAATCTATTGTTAATTCAATATTATATATAAAAAAAATATATTATCTGTATTATTATTATGATTCTTTTTTTTATGAAAAAAAAATTCAGAATTCTTCATTTTAAATTTTTATGTTTAAATAAATGTAAACCTTTTTACTTCAAATTGAAGGTTTTTATAATTGTAAATTAATTTTGAAGTTGCAACGAAATATTTCGTGTAATTTTTAATTTATAATGGTATTTTATTTTTTTATTTATTATTGTTATTTTTGTATTTATTTATAAAAAAAAGTTTTTTTTTTTGTTTATTTATTATATTTTTTGTGTTCTTTTGTGTGTTTTTGTGTTTTTTTTTAAATTATTATAACCGATGAGTGATTTGAATTTAGGGTGATAGATGGAATATCTAAAATATATATTTGTGCATATGTTATTAAAATTGAATAATGGTAATATATGGATTCCCGGTTAAAAACCTGAAGTGATATATATATTAAAAAGACTGTTTTTCATCAATAATATTGTGATTTTGGTAAGTATTTATTTTCATTATTTTATTGAGTAAAAATTTTTTTTTATTATTATCATTGAATTTAGTACAGTATTTTTAATTTGTTTAAGAAAAAAAAGGCATGTTTGGAGTAAGTTTGAAAGGAATGTTTGGAGTAGATAATTAAAAGAGTTTTGGTAGTAAATAAAAGAATTAATTTTACCATAGAGAAATTTATCCTTTTTTTTTTGTATTTCTGAAAAATTAAAAATATTTTATATTCCTTTTCTTGTTTACCTTGCAATGGTAAATCGAGTTATGATGGTGTTAGCCTAAACTAGAACAGAAAAATATATTAGTTTTTGTTCTGTAATTTTGATTTTTTGAGTCTATTTACGTGTACTATTATTGGTTTATTTTTTATTTCAATTTTAATATTTCCTTTTCCTAAGATTTCTAAAACTTTATGGGGTCCAGTATATTGATCATCAAATTTCTTTGGTTTGGGTCCGCTTAATAAAAATACTTCGTCATCTATGTTAAAATTTTGGGGGTTTATTTTTTTGTCATAATATGCTTTTGATTTTTCTTTTGCGGTAATTAGATGTTCTCTAGCTATTCCTCTGATTTCATGTAAACGAGTTATTAGTTTTATTAAATAATCATCGTATGTTTCAAGTTTTTCATGATCTGCTGGAGATTCACTAGATGGTTGTCTGGCTAGTTTGCCGAAAACTAATTCGTATGGGGTGCAACGTGTTCCTTCATGAATACTAGTATTGTAAGAAAAGGTTGCTAATTCAAGCCAATCGTCCCATTGAGAATTTTTATTTACAAATTGCTTTAAATATTCCGCGAGAACATGATGTGATCTTTCTAGAGAACCATTTGATTGTGGATGAAATGCTGTAGTTTTAAATTGTC